AAAGTGTATGTAAATTGCTCAGCTAGTTATATATTATATATATAGTACACTCCCTTTATAACGGCCTTTTCTATAACGGCCTACATTCTATAATAATAACGAACTGGAAATTGGATCCTGGTTTTTTACTATATAAAAACCCTACTCTATAACGGTCTTCTTAATTAAATTTCTTATAGTGTATAACGGCCTGTCCCTGAAATTCACTTATATTAATATGTTATAACTGCCTATAATGGCTGATGATTATGAATTATAATTGCAAATTAGGAAATTTTATTATTAATATTTTTTAACATTACATGTTGATTTTTTATTTTTATTTTTAAAATTTAATTGATTTGATTGATTTTATTATAGCAAGACTTAAAGAAATATTTGATTTTTCTTTTTTTTTTTTTAGATTATTTCGCAAGATTATACCCGTAAACATTAATTAATATAAATAAATATTTTTTAATAAATTGTCCAATTGAGGTAGAGTTGGTTCCTCCCTGATATATTTATTTAGTGCAGTAGGCGTGAAATAAATGGGCCTGCTTTCATAATCGTTTGCTATTATTTGTATTTCTTCCTGTAAATATAATTGTGATTGAATAATAAGCAAGGCTTCATTATAAAAGTCAAAAGAAAAGATAAAAAATGTATACCTCTAATTTTGAGAAATGATGCATGCATAATACCATTAATGGAAAAGAAGATCTGTCCATGACTAATTTAGTATTTAGCCATGGCCATGCTTGATAGATTCCGTTGTGATTAAGAGTCATAAAGAATGAATCAATTTTGTCACCTAGATTATCAAATGGATTTTGTAAAAATCAAAAAAATACTGCAAAAATAAAAAGCAAAAAATCACAACCAACTAAAGCTAGAAGCAAAACTATTTTGAAGAGGAGGCGAAAGTCAAAACTAGCTTCAACTTTTGCACAGTTTCGCTACTAGCTTTATGACAGACATATACCCATGTTTGAAAGGAACATTGTATAGTTTGGTCCACCTTTCTTGCTTAATAATTGGTTGATCGAATGTTTTGCTCGTGTATTAATTTTAACAAAGTCTTTGTTTTTCTGGAATGGAGTATAGCCACTTGGTTTTATTTCAGAGTTTAATATGGTGATATTGTCAATTCTGCAACTAAAATCTGGTCTCTTGAGAGAGTTATTGACAGATTTGTTTAATCTTACTTCATAGTTTTTGAAGCTGCGACAGAAAAAAGGTTTTAATAGTGGATGAAGGTAAAAACAACAATGTTCACCTTCCGTCATTTTTGGCTTTGGTACCAATGGAAGCTCATCCTTTCTAATGGGTGTAAAATAATTCAAATTTAGTCTTTTTCCAATGAATTTTGTTTTCAGTTTTTTTTTAATCATTCATGTAATATAAAAAAGATTCTTGATCAAGTCACTTACAATATGTTAAATATTCTATAAGCCTTTTTGTCAAACTCACTATCACCATTTGATTCGAGAGTATAATCTAATCCAATTGCAATTTGACTACAAGTGTAGTATAACGATGTTGAAATCGGTGCCAATATCGATTCTTTGCTTGATAGATTCCGTTGTGATTAAGAGTCATAAAGAATGAATCAATTTTGTCACCTAGATTATCAAATGGATTTTGTAAAAATCAAAAAAATACTGCAAAAATAAAAAGCAAAAAATCACAACCAACTAAAGCTAGAAGCAAAACTATTTTGAAGAGGAGGCGAAAGTCAAAACTAGCTTCAACTTTTGCACAGTTTCGCTACTAGCTTTATGACAGACATATACCCATGTTTGAAAGGAACATTGTATAGTTTGGTCCACCTTTCTTGCTTAATAATTGGTTGATCGAATGTTTTGCTCATGTATTAATTTTAACAAAGTCTTTGTTTTTCTGGAATGGAGTATAGTCACTTGGTTTTATTTCAGAGTTTAATATGGTGATATTGTCAATTCTGCAACTAAAATCTGGTCTCTTGAGAGAGTTATCAACAGATTTGTTTAATCTTACTTCATAGTTTTTGAAGTTGTGACAGAAAAAAGGTTTTAATAGTGGATGAAGGTAAAAACAACAATGTTCATCTTCTGTCATTTTTGGCTTTGGTACCAATTAAGGTTGTGGGCGAAACCTCTTAATGACTGTCGAAACTCTGTCGAAACTCTAATGAACAATTAATGTGTAACCT